CAGCAGAGGTGTGTCTAAGACCTGTCAGGAACCATGGCGAGGACCCTGATAAAGGAATGAGGGGACTACCTCCTTAAAACAAAAAGAATCCTATAGACTCTGTCTGCCCTACTGTGAGTCCTAAAGAGCCTTGGACTCAATTGGCTAACTGTACCCTATAGAGAACATCTGACTTTCTCTTGCAGATTCTTGTGGGACAGGACAGGGGACCTGCGAGGCCCTAAAGCACTCCCCCTGTCAAAGAAGACAAATATAGGTGACCTTTTTCAGAGTCACCAAAATTAACTGCCCAGCTGAGGCAGCCTGCCTCCTGCCACCAGCAGGAGACATCCTGGCTCAGTGTCAGAAGCATCAGCACTGCGTATGTGAGCAGCACTGTCAGACCTGTTGTCAGACCCATGCCTTGGCATGTCACCACATCCATCTCACCTAGAAAATTAAATGAGGATTCTAACAGTCAAGAAGAGGGAGAACTTTAGAACATCCCCACAGACTGCCAGAAACTTCGAACTTGCTCAGATACTCTCAAGACTAGAAATTGGGTTTGGGTGAGTTTCTTACAACCCAGTAATCAAATCAAAGAGACCATAAGAATGGTAGACACACATGCTACAGAATGTCGTAGATAAACGGCACAGACCACTTACCTGGGAACCTCAGTATGACTTCAGAGCACATGGAGTTGATCTTTGGCATTGACGTGAGGGAAATGGAACAGGTCTATGCCCTTGTGAACAAACGTTCTCACCTACGATGAGAGGTGGAGTTATGACAAGGACATGCCCAAGATCATGACTACCTGGTAATACCCCACAGCCTAGATTCATTAAGTGGAACCACACAATTGAGGGAAAAATCTACGACTTGCTACATATGTGACATGCTAAATACTGTATAATCTGGAAATATACATTTCATGTTTGGGAACCCAGGAAGCTCATGAACAAAAATTTGATGTATCTAAAGGAGGAGCTCTGGTAGCGTAGTGGTTATGAATCAGGCTGCTAATCTCATGGTCAGCAGTTTGAAACTACCAGCTGTTCCACAGGAGAAAGACGAGGCTTTCTGCTCCCGTAAAGATTTACGGCCTTGGAAACCCTGTACAGGGTCGCTATGAGTCGGAACCAACTCCATGGCACAGAACAACAACAACAAAAGAAAGAGGGGCAGCAACAGGTAACCAAGAGTGATCCTCCATCCTGAGAATTCCCGTGAAATCTCCGAGCTTCCCTTGAAACCAATACAATGAAAAGTTCTGGAGGTTCTGGCCAAGTTTAATGATACGTCTCCAGTGTCTTCCAGTCCCACTAAGAGACATTTTTAAACAGGAGAAAGTAGAGAGACAGAGCCAGAGAGACAGCCAAAGCTGACCAGACTACCACAGCCATATGAAGCAGCTCTTCCCACCTCCAGTGGAGCCTGAGGTGGAGTATTCATTTTGTATTTGAAGACGTTCGTCCACTTTCTAAGTAGTGAAGGGCAGATAGGGCTGGAGAGAACTCATGAATATCTTCTTAGGTTTCTATTACACATTAGTAACTATTAGAGTTATCTTTTTCCTTGGATATTTTTCAAATTATATTCCATTGAATAAGAGGTATAATTAAACTTTGAATCCACATCTATGAATGGCCAGGATTACACATTTATTACTGTTAATTAGGTTTGAGAGGAAGAGTGTTCTGTTTTGTAAAACAAATTGAAAATCCTTCAACTGTTTTTGTTTGTGCGTGATCCACAATGCGATGACATGGCACTGGAATAGGAATAGCTTTGGAAATGCTAAATAAATCAACAGTAAATTGCAATCAGAAAAGAAAAGAAGAAAGAAGGGAAAGAAAGAAAAAATGGTCAGTTTCTCTTTATCCCTTTAGTCTTCTTTTTTTTAAATTGTGGATTGAGTGAACGTTTACAGGGCAGATCATCAGTTTTACATTCAACAAATCATAGACTTTGTTTAATTACAATGGTTATAATCCCCTCCATGTATTATCAGTTAACAGTATTTCTCTCTATTCATTTTAGCTCTCTCTCTTTTTTTAAACACTCAGGAATATATAATGATCTAAACCACCAAAGAGCACATTCTGCAAGTCTGCTTCCTGGCCACCATCTCTTAGTGCCTCACTTCCCATGAATCTAGTCCTCAGCTGCATACCCTGTCCATGACCCCATCTCTGGTGTTGCTGCTTCTCTGGATAGGGTCCTGCATTCCACTCCTACTCTTCTCCCTTGATGGTCCTAGGGTCCTCTGTTTCTAGACTGGAAGATTCACTACTGCCCCGTTTCTGTTACAAAACTTCTACAATTGTGACAGTTGTAATTAGTCATGATAACAACAACTCCTTTTAGTCTTTTTGATAAAAGTAAATACCTATATGGTATGGCGCTGCAGAATAAAGCACTGGACCTCAAGGGCCGTTTGAACCACACGGCTGGGGGTTCAAACCCAGCAGCCGCTCTTTGTAATCCTTATACACGGGTCGCTATGAGTTGGAACCAACTTCACGGCACTTACACACACACACACACACACACACACACCTGTATTTCCTTGAGTTCTTCAGGAATGTAAGGGGTTGGTTGAGGTTTCAGCCGGAGTCTGATTCAAGTCTGCAGAGGAAGAGCACCCAGGACCCCAAAGCAGCCTCTGTGAGAACTCCAAGGGCTCTGAGGATCCCCACAGTCTGGGGACAGACTTGGGAGGCACCAGGAACAGGCTGAGATGCCCCCTCATTTCTGACTGGGATATCGGGGAGGTAAGGTTCAAAGAGGTGACCCTGTACACTTGGACAGAGGACTGAGTCTTGACCCTAACTGGTTTTGTTAAGGTGTGAACCCTGAGAGCTAAGGAGGGCAGACTAGCCTCTAAAGAGGCTCCTTCTGGAGCACTGACTCAGTCGGCAATCCTGGGAGGTCCCAGGCAGCGGTAACCAAGCAGCCCGCTCTGATCCCCCCTCTATGATCTCCACGATGTGAGGGTCTTGTTCTTCGCCCATGACTGAGGTCTGTACAAGCAGAGGCAAAACCCCAAGCCCTGATAGGTATCAAGGTGAGAACCTCGCGAGAACATCGGGGAACTACCAACTCCAAAACCGTGGGGTTCTAAAAACCCTGCCCCTAGCGTCCGCCCACGGAGACGCCCCCCCCCCCCCGCAACAGCCTTAGCAGTGGGAGGAACCCCAATCGCATTAGCCGGATGTGACGCTCCTGCTAAGCTCGTTGTCCTCTGCAGCGGAAGTGCCTGGAAAGCTTCGCCACTCTGGTTTGAGGTATGCAACTTTTCATTTTCGGAGAGGGGTGGGAATCGCTCGATCCGTCAACAGGGCGGAGGGTACCAACTAACCCGCAAGGTCCCACAAAGGTGGCGGTTCAAGCTCACCAGTTGCACCTCGAATACCCTGTACAGAGTCGCTATGTGTCACAATGGCGGCACACAACAACAATAATAACATAGGGTGTCTTAGGCTGCAAATCTTTGCGTAACAGAAAGCCTCATCTTTCTCCTGCGAAATCACAGAGCAGCTTGTGATTTCGAACTGCTGACCTTTCAGTTAGCAACCCTACGGGTAACGAACCCACTAGGCCACTAGGCCACCAGCGTTGTTGTTGTTGTTAAGTGCTGTCGAGTCGGTTCAACTCATAGCAAAACTCATAGGTTTCTGAGGAACGGCTGGTGAGTGTGAACCACTGACCTTGCGGTTCAAACTGACCTCGTGGTCTAGAGCATTAACTCACAGCATTAGCATTCTCAAACTCGCCTTCCCAGGGTGGGGCTCATTGTGGCCCCTAATTCTCAGGTCTCGGGAGAGGGGGCGGGGAATCTTTCACTTGAGGGCTGTAGTCTCATGTCAGTAGTGGTTGGGGTGTTCCAGAAATGGTACACAATTAGGCTGAAAACATGATTTAAGATACTGGGGACCACTCAACCAAAAATGGGAAAGGCTGCACTGAGCCATTCATTGATGTTGGGAGTCCAGGACATATCAGCCAAGTCCAGGTGCCCCATGACTTTGGCCTGGAGGGTTTCAGGGAGATGAGAGCCTTGGTTTCAGCCCTAATTTAACAGAGAGAAGAATTTCATAACCTGGTGGGATTCAACGTAAAAATCCTTTAAGAGGAAAGATTGAGATACACCCCCTGACCCTTGGAAGAAGAGAGGAGGATGCTCAAAGCGCCTCCTCTACAGTTATCCTAAGGAAGCCAAGGTCAGAGATGTCAGACTTAGGTGTTCTCGTTTGTTCTGAGGGTAGGTGGTCTCAAGAACATGGAGTCTTAGGACTACAGGGAACTCCTATTCAGCAGAGGCAGGACACTTGGTCCCTAACAGGAGTTATGATGAGAGATGATTCTTTCCAGTAATAAGGGGGGGACTGTAAGTCTCACCCCTGGTTTTAGACTTGGGGGGGGGGCTGGGCACTCACATCCTCCCAGCACATCTCAGGAAGGTGAGGGACCTGGTCAAAGCGGACAGCCAAAGTGAGGGCCCTGATGGAAGACTGAGGCCTCCAAAGAATCTAGGACAGAAAGCCTCACTGTGACAGTGTGTCAGGAGTGGTATCTGAGCTGCCCCTTCACTTCCTCCATGTGGGTCCCAGAGGGCTTTATGGTGTCAAGTTCAGAGTAGCAGAGAGGACAGGGACCAGGCCCTGTTAGAAGTTGACTTGATGGTCCTGAAAGTAAACCGAGACGATCCCCCACTAACTCAGTACTGAGGGCTCCCACTGCCATTCCCTGCTATCAGCCCAGTAAGCCCCAGGAAGGGCTGGCAACTGCATCTTAAGCCTCCTCTTAACTCCTTCACAGGATTCACAGGCCTGGCTTATCAGGAGATCTGGGTTCCTAGGGCAGTGCCTCTAAAGAATCCTGCCTAGGCAGCCATTGTTAAAGGAAACATAGTCCTGCTGAAGGGCTCACACCTCCTCAGCCTTCCTCCCCAGTGAGTCCACATCACCTGTCCACCCACATTCCTGTCTACTGCCCTTGACCAGACAGTCATCATGCCTCGAGGTCTGAAGAGTAAGCTCCGTGCCCGTGAGAAACGTCAACAGGTCCGAGGTGTTAAGGGTGCTCAGGCCTCTGCAGCAGAGGAGGAAGGGTCTCCTCCGTCCTCTCCTCTTGGGGGTTCTCCTCAGAGCTCCCCTGCTGCTCAAAGTCCCCAGGGGCCTCAGAGAGCCTCGTCTGCTACCACTGCTGATGCTGCATGCACAAGAGCTGCTGAAGGTGCCAAGGGTCAAGATAATGAAAATCCAAGTTCTTCTGGGGCCACACCCACCACTGAGAGTTCCCAAAGAGATCCTATAACCCAGAGGGTGACCAAGTTGTTGCAGTTCCTCCTGCGCAAGTATAACATGAAAGAGTGCATTTCCAAGAAAGAAATGATAAAGGTGATCAACAAAAGGTACAAGGAGCAATTCCCGGAGATCCTTAGGAAAGCCTCTGAGCACATAGAGCTGATCTTTGGCCTTGACCTGAAGGAACTCGACTCCAAAGGTTCATCCTATGTCATTGTCAGCAAATTGGAGACCACCGAGGAAGAGAATCTGAGTACCACGGGGTTTCCCAAGAACGGTATCCTGATACCTCTCCTGGGTATGATCTACATGAATGGTAATGGAGCCACTGAGGAGGAGGTCTGGGATTTCCTGAATGTTATGGGTGTCTATGACGGGAAGAGGCACTTCATCTTTGGGGAGCCCAGGAAGCTCATCACCAAAGATTTGGTGCAGCAAAAATACCTGGAGTATTTCCAGGTGCCCAACAGTGATCCTCCACGCTACGAATTTCGATGGGGCCCCAGAGCCCATGCTGAAGCCAGCAAAATGAAAATTGTAGAATTTTTGGCCAAGGTCAATGATACCGACGTCAGTGTCTTCCAAGCCATGTATGAAGAAGCTTGGAAAGAAGGATGCTAGAGAATGTGCTGGGGCTGGTCCTAGCGAAAGGACCAAAGGTCAACAGTGAAGTGTGAAACTGTTTCTTCATTTTGTGTTTGAAAGAACATTCAGTCTTCTAAGTAGTCTTCATTTTGTTCTCAATCTGCATGGGTAACCAAGATTTACCTTCTTTTTAAAAAATTCTTTTTTGTAAAATAGAAGACTTACTGAGATCCATAATCTAAGTTTATGAATGTCATGGATTACTTGTTTATTGCTATTTTCATATATTAGTGTTTCAGTGTTTAAAAATCAGCTTAGAATTCCTGTTGTTGTCCAGAACATGCAGCAGAGCAGGGATTTTCTTGGAAACTTGTATAGAATAGTTAGGATGAAGATAGAAAGAAAAGAAAAAATGTTTTACTGCTTTTTGTCAAATTTCATTTGCTTAATTATTGTAACATTTCTTTTTAAAAATAAAAAACACCTGAATTTGCTTATTCTATTCCAAAATGTAGAAATTAAACTGTCATTAATTAAGAAGTTTTGTTCACTGTCTGTTTCATAATGCAAATGTTCACTGAGCATCTAGCATTTGGTGGACGTCAAGTTAATACTGGAAATTCCTTTAAAAAGAAGCCAAATCTCCTGGCTATAGATTTTGAAAGTTTAAAAGCAACTAGGACTCCTGGTGTGGCGTTGTAAGATCAGCATTGGACTGTGAACCACAACGTTAGCTGTTCAAACCCACCAGCTGCTCCTCACAAATGCTATAAAGTGGGTGACACTTAACAACAACTCAATAATGAAGTCACTGGGATACTCATCAAGACCTAATCATGGTTGTTGGTGGTTGTGTGCCATGGAGTCAGTTCCTACTTTTAGCAACTCTGTATAGGGTTTCTAAGGCTGTAGATCTTGATGGGAGCAGAAAGTCTCATCTTTGTCCTGCGGAGCAGTTAGTAGATTCGAACTGCTGATCTTGCAATTAGCAGCCAAATGAGTAACCCACTATGCTACCAAGGCTCCTGCGGGAGGGATATGTGGGGCCTGTCACTCCTGTGATGTGTCTCGGCATCAAAAGGCATAGGTGAGCCAGAGAGCAATCCCCACCTGCGGCAGACCTGGAAGGTATCCTGCACTGTTGTTCCTGTGAGCTGGGAACCATGCACTGACTGGGTATTTTATTCACATCATTTAAAAAAATACTTTCTGAGAAATGGGGTGAGAACCAAGAAACCACTATTCTAGCACTTTGCTTTGGTCTGGGTGAGCCAGAGCCCACTCCATTAAAAAAGCATTAGAATTAGGTTACCCTGAGTGTCATTGGACTCCTGGCGTGGCGTTTTAAGATCAGAACTGGACTGCAAACCACAAGGTCGGCAGTTCAAACCTACCAGCTGCTCCTTGGAAACCGAACTCCAAGTAAAGATAGGGGTGATTTAGAGGTACAGGCAGCTGGGAGGTTAAAGTTGTTGACCCTTGATACTAATTATAAGAACCCTGTGTTGCATTAAATCCACACTGAATAGCATACTTCCTGATGTGGATAGAACAGAGTCCCTCAAAAATATGTGTTCCTTATAATCCCACTTGGGATTGGGGTTTCTTTGTTATGTTAATGGGCCAGTTTTAGTGTAAGCTTGTTTTAAGTCAATCACTTTTGAGATCTAAAAGAGCAGATCAAGCAAGCAAGTAAGCACAGATGAAGAAGACGGCTGTCACATCACACGGCATTTCCAAGAAACCAAGAAACAGAAGCTGAGAAGACATGGACCTTACCCCCAGAGCCAACAGAGAGAGAAAGCCTTCCCTAGAGCCAGTTCCCTGAATTAGGTGTCAAACTAATCACAGCAATCCACCTAAACTGTGGGAGTCCTGGTGTGGTGCTGTAGGATAAGTACTGGACTGCTAACCACAAGGTTGGCAGTTCAAACTCACCAGTCACTCCTCAGAAACTCTATACAGGATTGTTATGAGTTGGAAAGGGCTCAATGGCATGTAACAACATATTGGGGAAAAATAAATTTCTGTTTGTTAAAGTTACCCACACTGTGGTATTTCTGTTGTTCTTAAGTGCCATTGAATCGGTTCTGACCCATAGCGACTTTGTATAGGGTTTCTGAGGAGCGGCTGGTGAGCTTGAAACACCGATCTTATGGGTTCAAACCAACTTTGCAGTCTAGTGCATTAACCTACCACACCATACCAGGACACCATTTCTGTTATGTTGTTGTTACGTGCTGTCGAGTCAGTTCCGACCCATAGCAACCCGTATCGGGTTTCTGAGGAGCCTCTGATGAGCTTGAACTGCTGACCTTTTGATTTGAACCAACTTTGCAGTCCAGCTCATTAACCCACAGCGCCACTCCAGGACTTTTGTTATAGCAGCACTAAATAACTAAGCCCCCCCCCCTATGGGTGGCAAAAAGGTTTGCCTTTCATTGGTAACCTAAAGGTTGCCAGTGTAAACTCACCCAGTGATACTGCAGAAGAAATGTCTGGCAATCTGTTTCTGTAAAGATTACCAGGAAGAAAACCTTATGGGGAGGTTCTACTCTATAACACATAGGTCTCATTGAGTTGAAATCAACTTGATGGCACCAGGTTAATATAAACTTTACTTTTTCTTTCTAAGTAGTATTTTGTCTGATTTTCTTTGTCCTAGAACACTACATATTCAGACACATCTTGGAGAAAACTAAACCAAAAATTATTTGAGAGGAGGGTGGTATCTTGTGGTGGCCAAGTAATCATAGTAATAGTTGCTGTTTTTAACAGATTCAGTATTTGACACATGGCCATGTGCTTTGCATTCAATGCACACATCACACCAGCTCTAGCAGATAGGGCTTATCAAATCCAATACACATATCAAGAATCTGGAGCTTAGAGTTTGGGGATGTGCATGAGTTTACAAGTCTAGGACATGACTGAAGTGGATTAGACCCCTGATCTGAGTCTGTCTGGAGTCCCCCACTGTTCCACTCTCCAAGCTGAGGCTGACCTTGTGTCTCAGAAACCATTTTTATTCTCACCATGACACCATGTGTTTCAGACAACCAACAAGACTCTGTGGTCAAAGCATTGGATTGGACTATCTACACAGATCTGCTATTGTTCTTGTTGTTAAGATCATTCGAATTGGTTTTGACCCATAGCAACCCTGTCTAGGGTTTCTGAGGAGCAGCTGGTGAGCTTGAACCACCAACCTTGTGGTTCCAATCAACCTTGTGATCAAGTGCTCATCCTACAGCGCCACACCAGGACTCTTTTACATAGGTGTAAGATGTTGTTGTTGTTGTTGTTAAGTGCTGTCGAGTTGGTTCCAACCCATAGAGACCCTATATAGGGTTTCCAAGGAGCGGTTGGTGAGCTTGAACTGCTGACCTTGTGGTTCAAACGACTTCGCAGTCCAGTGCCACACCAGTAGCTGTCATAAAATATTATCTCTTTATCTTACCCATATTGTTTTTGTTAGGTGTTGTCCAGTCAATTTCTACTCAGAGCGACCCCATGTGACAGTAGAACTGCCCTATGGGCTTTAATTATAGACAGATCACAATTAATCACATGTCCCATGGAGCGGCAAGGTTTCCAATAGCAAATTGATCAGTTTTTAATGAAAGATAACAGGAGCCAAGAGAGAGACCCCCATATAGGAAGACAGGGAAACCAACACCCCAGAGTACAGGAATCCGAGATCAGCTTACACCTGCTGTCAGACATAGACGGTCCCAGGCAGGGCTTCTGAGCATGCCCTCACTTAATCTTCCAAGATCCCAGGGACTTGAGCTCCTTGGCTTAAGTAGGACATCACAAGTCCGTAGCTGTAGGAGTCTCGGTCTCAGATCAACTATCCCTCCTACAGCACTCTCTACTCAACTGTATTCAATGATTTGTTGCAGTAGCTCACAGAACTCAGACACCATCCTCACAGTTGTGGGGTTTATTAGGGAAGTTAGCAGGTTACAATTCAGACTCAGAAATGTTCAGGGCATAATTCTTTCAGTTAGGGCAGCCTTTCCTCGGCCATGTCTAGAGGCAGGCCTCTTTCTGCCCGGGAAATGTCACAAAGCTCTCTTAGGGCTGCTAATGTCCACAGGGCACACCACTTCACCATAAGCCTCAATCTGAAGGCATTTGACTCAAGCACTATGGGTCAGCAAACCTAGCTCCCCTAATGAAATGTCTGGAGGCACTCTACTCATCCAGTGAGTCTCCTGCCCAAAGTTACTCAGCTTTACTTGTTCCATGGGAAACCCTATCACATGCCCCGGCTCTTGAATCGGCTGCTGCCATTCCTCTGGTGTCACAGTTTTCTGTCTCTGGGTCAAGAAAGTTCAGCGCACAAGGGTCTTGGAGTCTAAAGGACATGCTCCACTCCTGGCTCTTTTTCTTTGATGGTAGTGAGACATCACTCCCATCTTCTTTGGAAATGGCTCATTTTATACTCAGCAAGACGGCACATTTGACCAAGCCTCTCATTAGATTTTCAAGTGGTTACAATCACAATTACAAGCTCTGGTAGCATAGTGGGTTACAGGTTATAATCTACCAGCCACCCCGAGGGAGAAAGATGAAGCTTTCACAGTCTCAGAAATTCTACAGAGGGCCACTATGAGTTGCAACCAACTCAACGGCACACAATCACAACTAGCACCACCACAATCACAATGAACCGTATTAACAATCAATCACAATGGAACCATATCATCCTATCAACATCTTCCACCTTCTCTTACCCAGACCCATTAAGAAAACATCATTTGTCTTGGACCCAGAGACAGCGACATGGTCACAGAGGACTAGAGTGAAGACTGAAGCATCCAGCTGATAAGAAGAGAGAGCACATGCATAAGTACACCCACACTTGCAGATAATACCCACTTGACCTGGCCACAATGGCTGGATGATCAGAGCTCAAACAGAAGAAAAAAGAAGAGGGGAAAAAAGAAGACTCTGACACAATATGATGATCTTGACACACACCTATGGAAGCAATAGCTCAAAAGAGTGAACAAATCTTCACAGCGAGGATCATTCCCACCTCCTCCACACACAGAGAGGACAGGGATGGGCAACTTGGACAGTGGCTACCCAGAATGGGGGTGCTACAGAGGCAAGAAGTGACTGGCTTACAAGCTTTCAAGAGGGAACCTAGATTCAGAGGGCATGGAGCAAGGTGGAATCTCCACTGAGTGGTAGCCATTCTGCCTAGTCAGGGCTGATAAAAGAAGATGCAGATAGGTCCCTTGCGATACAATAGCAAATAATTGTTATCAGGACTGATTGTAAGGGCTGGAAATGTGAAGGTGGACGTTTTGGGGCAAAGGGAGGGGAGTGATAACCTTACAGCCTAGGAACAGAGGTCCCTGGGATCATCGAAGGAGAAGAGCAGAGAGGATGAAGCAGAGATGATGACATTGGGAGATGGAGCAGCTGGAGACTTTGGACCTGGAGAGGAAGAGGGGTGGTGTGTGGACGACAGGGGGTCAGGCTTGCAGGGTATACCCTTTGGTTGGTCGATGATGCATGGAGGGGATTGTGACCATGGCAAGGAAACAATGTGCAATGGGATCAATGTGAAGCTAATGTCCTCCCATGTGAACGATCACATAATTCACAATAAAGCATTAAAAAAAAAATGTGTGGGAAGAAAGAAAGAGTCCCCACTGAATAGTTTTCATCTTGTCTAGACGGGTCTGGTGAAAAGAGATGGGGATAAGAGTTGTATGATTCAATAGCGAGTAATTGTAATCATGACTAATTGTGACTGTCACAACTGTAAATGTATGTAGAAGTTTTGTAACAAAAACAGGGCAGTGGTTAATCTTACAGTTCAGAAACAGAGGACCCGAGGACCCTAGGACCATTGAGGGAGAAGAGCACAAGCAGAATGTGAGACCTTATCCAGAGAAGCAACAATGCCAGAGACTGAGGCAGAGATGAGGGCATGGAGAGGGGCAGTGGCTGAGGACTCTAGATTTGTGGCAAGAGAGGGTCTAAGAGGTGGTGGCCAGCAGGCTGACTTGCAGAATGTGCCATTCAGAGGTGTAAATTATTATATATGCCTGAGTTGTTTTTGTTTGTTTGTTTAATAAAGAAAACATCATTTGGTGGGAGTTACAAAGACTTGGCTAGAAGAGACGTATTAACTGTTTCACGGCACTCTGGTAGCATAGTGGTTACGAATCGGGCTGTGAACCGCAAGATCAGCAGTTCAAAACTACCAACTGTTCTGCCGGAGAAAGATGAGGCTTTCTGCTCCCGTGAAGATTTACAGCCTCGGAAACCCTGTACAGGGTTGCTATGAGTCGGAACCGACCCACGGCACATAACCACCACCACACATCTTTATGGGAGCAGAAAGCCTCATCTCTCTCCTGAGGAACACCTGATGGACTCAAACTGCTGACCCTGTGGTTAGAAAACCACAGCACATCACTACCACCACCACCACACTGTAGACATCAAGGGGATTATCCAGAATGAGGACAATAGAAGGACCCAGCTAGAAGAGTGAGGCCCCATAGACTTCCATCCTGTCCTTCCTTGCAGATGCAGAACAGTTCGGAGATGCAAGGAAGACACTAGCAAGAGTTACAATGACGACCATGAGTGGTAACAGGGGATCCCTAATAGCTAAGTACAGCGGACCTCACAGAACTCAGCCCCTATTTTAGAGCCCAGGAGGCACCAGACAGAGCTATCAGCCTGAAGCGCCCCTTCATTTCAGCACAGGGCGATCAGGGAGGGACGGCCCTGGTAGTAAAGAGGCAGTTCTATGGAGAAAGGACTTTTGTCCCTAACTGGAGTAAGTTGTGGACCTCAGGGTGCATAGGGCAGGGAAAGGGGGTTAGTGCCCAACGAGGCTCCTTCCAGAGTGCTGTGTGGCCCCAGGCAGGGTAGTTCTATGGACAGTCCTGACCTCCCACTCTACGGCCTCTTTCACTTGAGGGTCTTGTTATATGCCCGTAACTCAGGTCTGTATAGGTAAAAACCAAAAAAGACCCTAAGTGAGCACTTAAGGGACCACCAACACTACTAACACTAACTCAAAAGTCCCATCGTCTCTCCTGCTAGCCCTCAAGGGTCCCCCAACTGCTGTAGCCGGATGTGACGCTCTTGGCTGTTGTCCTACGGACCTGACTTCCGGGCTGGCATTGCGGTAAAGGTGACCTGTATCGTCTGATAAGCTCAGCCTTTGATCTGGAGAGGTGAAGTTTCAGGATTGGTCAAGAGTGAAGGTGAGGACCCTGAATGAAGACAGACAGGGCCACCCACCCCAGTAGAAAGCTTCCGCACACCCTTCCCCCCACATTCCCGGCTGTAGTCGGCTGAGGGCGGAGGCTTGGGACTATTAAGTAGAAGTTGCGCTTAAGTGTTGGGCCTGCTAACTAAAGTTGGCTCTTGGAACCCACCAACTGTTCCACGGGAGAGAAACGAGGCTTTCTTGTCGGATAAAGATTTATAGCCTTGGGAACCGTGTACAAGGTCGCTATGAGTCGCAAACAACTCTATGACAGACCGCCAAGACTACCACTACCAACACTTGTGTCTAGATACTGTTGTTAAGTACGGTCATCGAGTTGGTTGCGACTCAACGACCAGGTTTCTGAGAAGCGGCTGGTGAGTTTGAACTGCCAACCTTGCAGTTCAAGCCTTGCTTATCCCTACAGCTCCACACCAAGGGCCAATGAAATCCACTGAAGCTCCCTGCATGCCTAAAAGATCTCAGAGAGATGAGGGCTTTAATTCAATGGCGGCAGCTCGAGGTCAGTAGTTCGAATCTACCAATTGCTCCGCGGGAGAAAGATGAGGCTTTCTGCTCCAATAAATATTTACTGCCTCGGAAAGCCTGTGCAGGTTCTCCATGAGTTGACATCCACTTGGTGGCACACAACCACCGCCCCTTTTGGCCACCACCCCTTTCTGCAGCGGAAGTTCACCTACACCTTGTGTGAGTCAATTGTGACTCACAGCGACCCTGTATAAGGTTTCCGAGGGTGTAAATATTTATGGGAGTAGAAACCCTCATTTTGTCCTCATTTGGAGTGTGTGGTAGATTCGAACTGCTGACCTTGCAGTTAGCCCAACTGTAATCCACTATGTTGTTGTGGTTAAGTACCGTCGAGTCCGTTCCAACCCATAGTGACCCTGCACAGGGTTTCCGAGGCTGTAAATCTTTACGGGAGCAGAAAGCCTCATCTGTCTCCCGCGGAGCAGCTGGTAGTTTCGAACTGCTGACCTTGAGGTTCGCAGGCTGATTTGTAACCACTACGCTACCAGAGCTCCTTGTAATCCACTATAGTCAGTATAAAAAGGCATTATGAGGTCTGAGGAAAACAGGTGACCTACAACTGAAGGTGCCCTCCTCTCTCAGCCCTTGGAAACTCCAGAGCAACTTTCAAGCTGAGGTGCTCCCTCATTTCCTCCTGGAGAGTACTATGGAGGTACAGAATTTAGTCTAATGAAGCATCCCCAATTCCACAGAGGGAGGAGAGCCAGAACCCAATACGAGTTAAAGTGAGGACCCTGTATACGACCAGATGATATCTCCTACCACAGAAAAGTAGAAGTGCCAGGCAGTTCCTGCTTGAAATCCTTGGAGGTTCAGGCAAGGAAGTCAGGTGTATGTGAACCCTGCTTTCTTTCTAATGCCTTCAATTTGGTGAGAGCTTTGATCTGAGGGGACAGGCCTCAGATCAGCAGAGACAGGTGCTCCAGACCTTAACTGTAGCCCAAAATAGAGCTCTTAAGTCCTACTTAAAGCCAAAGTGAGGACTCGGAATGAGCACTGAGGTCTCCAAGGAACTCAAGATGGAAAAAGCCCAATTGAGCTCTCAGCACTGAGTGCACCCAATAGGGGTTATGGACTGAGGTACTACTTCACTTTCTTGTAGGTGGTCCCAGGGACACGGGAACACCGGTTCAGTGTATTAAATTTAGAGCAGCATGGAATCAGAGGAGGGCTGAAGACCCTGCCGACAGTTGAGACAATGGTCTTGAATGTGAACTGTGTCTACTCCGAAACAGAGGGGTACCCACAGAGCCTAGACCTGCCAGTCCCTGCTCTCAGCTCCAGGAAGGGCTAGAAGAATGCAGCCTAAGGCATAGGCTAATACTTGCCCTGTAAATTTCTAGCTCAGTGCCTTCAAGTAAACCTGCAGAGAGTGCCTTCTCAAATCCTAAAGGGTATCTCCCTACTTACGGTGCTAACACTATCTTTTCTCTGTCTTCCAGAAGGCCTATATTACCTGGTGTCCTGCTCACATTCCTGTCTGCATCCCTGACCACAGTCATCATGCCTCTCAGTAGACGTAAGAAAACCCAGCGGGCCCAAGGTGATGACACCAAGGTTCTCAGGGATACTCAGGCCATGGAAACAGCAAGAGAAGAATTCAGCTTTTCCACTCCTTCGGTTAGTTGCACTACCGAGAGAAAGCCTGGTTCTACATCACCCCAGGGGCCTCAGAGTGCCCCACCCCACCCCAGTACTTCTCTAGATACTTCCGGCACAAGAGCGTATGAAGGTGGCAATAACAAAGATGCGAAAAAGCAAAATTCCTCCCAGTACAAGCCCTCTACTATGCAGTCCTACAGAAGTCCTTTAACCAAGGAGGTTAGTATGTTGGTGGACTTCCTATTGCAAATGCATAAAATGAAAAAGACCATTAAGAAGAAAGCCATGCTGAAGCTTATCAGCATAAAGTACAAGCCCCGCTTCCTTGAGATCCTCCAGAGAGCGGCTTTCAACATCGAGGTGGTCTTCGGCACTGACGTCAAGGAAGTGGATTCTACAAAGCAGTGTTATGCCCTTGTCAGCAAAATGAATCTCCCCAACAATGGGATGCTGAGTAGAAAGGGTTTTCCCAAAACTGGTCTCCTGATGACTGTCCTGGGTGTGATCTGCATGAAAGGCAACTGTGCCAGGGAGGAGAAGATCTGGGAATTCCTGAATAAGATGAGAATTTATGCAGGAAAGAGGCACTTCATCTATGGGGAACCCAGGAAACTCATCACCCAAGATTTTGTAAAGCTGAAGTACCTGGAATACCGGCTGGTACCCAACAGCGATCCTGTAAGCTATGAATTCCTGTGGGGCCCCAGAGCCATCGCTGAAACAACCAAGATGAAGGTCCTGGAATATTTGGCCAAGATCAACAATACTGACCCCAGTGCCTTTGCATCCTGGTATGAAGAGGCTTTGAGAGATGAAGAAGAGAGAAGCAGAGATATAGTCAGAGATCAGGTGCAGCCTACTACTGCCACTGCCAGCGCAGAGTCAAAGCCAGCAACTCCTCCCTTGTGTACTGAACTGTGAGGCAGATGCTTCACTTGAGGTTGAAGGAGGGCAGTCAAATGTTCCAAGTAGTGAAGAGCTGGGTGAGATTGGAGGGAACATCATGTTTTAATACCTCTGTGTTTCTGTTCTATATAATTAGCTTAGAGATTTATCTGTATCTTGTTGGTCTTCAATTGTTGATCCTTTCAAGGAGCACTGTAATCTAAGTTTATGTATGACATAAATTGCACATTTATTGTTTCTCAGGTTTGTGTTGAAGAGCTTTGCTAATTTTTGTAAAACAAAACAAAAACCAGAAAACCTTCCATTGTCAGTACTCTGAAGCTAGATAGTATAGCATTACAATAAGCATTTCTTAGAAGTGTATAGAACACAATTGTTAAAAATAAAATGCATGGAAATAATAAATAGAGAAAAAAGTAAGATGATCACTATATTGTTATTCTGATCTGCTGTATTTTATCTTTAAATAAAAGTAGAAGATGCATAACTATATTTACTTATTTAATAATCTAGTAGAAGTTGGATAATACACTGGACAGCAAGGTTAGTTTGAACTGCAAGGTCGGTGGTTCAAACCCCCCAGCCACTTCTCTGAAACCCTAGACAAGATTGGTATGAGTTGGGACTGACTCAACAGCACTTAACAACAACACCAGAAATTAAATTATATTTAATTGGGCTCCTGTTCTCTTGTTTACTTATTCCCTCAGCATGAATTGAGCATGTGCTCTTTTTGGAAGATACATTGTTAATACAGAGAATAGTAAGAAAACGACCTACCCTGGTCATAGATTTTTAGGGTCAAGAAGCAGCCATCATGGATGAAAGGTGATGCTATATACTCTAAGATTTATAAGACATGTAAAATGAAAGAATGAAAAGGGGAGAAGTTTGAAATGAGAGCCACCAAAACCAAACCTACTGACACTGAATCAATTCTGACTCATCGCCTCTCTGTAGGACAGAGTAGATCTGTCCCGTGAGTAGAACTGTCTCATGAGTTTCCAAGACTAAATAGTCACCAACCACTGACGACGTTTTTGGTTAGTAGAGCACTTTAACCATGCAGCCTCTTTTGACATGCCCTGAGGCAAGGTAGTGTGGGCCCTTGGGACACAGATCTCTCAGTGGGAGGGAATTTTTATGTAGGTTGCTTGGGGAAGGGAAGAGGAGAAGGAGGTGGGGGCAAGGTGGGGGAGCCTAGGATAAATACTGGACTGAAAAACCACAAGATCAAAGGTTCGAGCCTACCAGCAGCTCCTTGGAAGAAAAAGCTCCCTCAATTTACAGCCTCAGAAACCCTATATAGGGTCTGTATGAGTTGGAACCTACTCGAGGGCACTTAACAACAACAGGAGGTAGGGAGTAGAGGGTGAGAGTAGGAGAGAGGGAGGAGGAAAGTAGATAAATGAGGCTGCAGGAGGGGTGCTGTGGGGCAGACATTGCCATGCTATCTATGTATCAGCATCCAGCAACTCAGCCTGCAATGGAGACTCACTCTGAACCCTTACTCTGGGATTACGGGTAAGTAAGGATTTCTGGTGTGGCGCTGAGGGTTAATGTGCCAGACTGCAAAGCCGTTTGAACTGCAAGGGCGGTGGTTCAAGCTCACCAGCTGCCCCTCGGAAACCCTATACAGGGTCGCTATGGGTCGGACCCGACTCGAAGGCACTTCACAACAACAAGCCTGAGCAAAATCCCTGTCTGGAGCAGGCCTGGAAGGTGTCCTTTGTTCTTGTCCCAGTGCATTTGAAACCACTGACTGGATGTTTCATTCCTTTTTCCAGAAAGTTTCTGAAAAATGGGCTGATGTCACTCTGAAGGTGAGATGTGAAGAAGCCACTGTTTTAGCACTTTCCCTTGGGCCAGGGAATCCAAAGCCCACTCCATTCAGAGGATATTAGAATTAGGTTATCACGAGTATCATTTGACAAACTTCAAGCAAGGGCTAGATTTTTGTCAGTGGTGATATGAAGGAAAATCGGGGTGACTTAGATGGAAGGTCAGCTGGGAGGGAAGTTGTTGGTCCTTAACACTAATTCAAGGAACCTTGTTCTGCATTAAACTGGGACCATTCACCACACACCCACATTAAATACTGGTAGTGTAGTTGTTACGAATCGGGCTGTGAACCACAAGGTCAGCAGTTTGTAACTACCAGCTGTTCCGCGGGAGAAAGATGAGGCTTTCTGCTCCCGTAAAGATTTACAGTCTTGGAAACCCTGTACAGGGTCGCTATGAGTCGGAACCGACTCCACGGCACATAACGACAACAACAATGTAAAATATTACCTGGCTCTTCCTAAGCAATATTTTGAATGATTTGGCTTACTTTGTCCTAGAGCACTACATGTTCTCTGATACATCCTGAATTGGGTGATACCATGTGGGATCAAAGCAGTCCTAGTGACAGCTGCCATTCTATAAAGAACCACAACATGCCAGGCATTGTGCCGGATGCTTTGTACACATTACAACAGTTTTAAAGGATAAGTCTTCTCAGACTTTGCCAATGAAGAACTTATTATTTTCACAGTGCTGGTAAGTGACAGGGCTGGATTTGACCCCTGGTCTGAAACTGTCTGGAACTCACGGTGTTCTACTCCTCCAGTCTGAAGCAAGTCTTGTATATCTTAATTCACTGTGTTGTTGTTATTGTTAAGTGCCGTCCAGTTGATTCTAATCCATAGTGACCCTCTAGAGGGTTTCCGAGAAGCTTGAACCACCTACATGCAGTTCAAATGACTTTGCAGTCTGGTGCATTAACCCACAGCGCCACACCAGGAGTCCTATAATTCACTGTAGAGCTCACTGTTTCCAAAGTTATCTCTAGGGATAGTCTGTGCCCAGTGTACTGGATTGGAATACACAGCCACAGCAATAAGCATAAGAAATAAGTGAAGAAAGGAAGATAATATTTGCGGACATTATGATCATCTACCTATGATCATCTGAAAAGATTGCTCACAAACTCATCTTAAACTGTTCTTTTTCTGTAGAAAGCAAACCTTTTAGGACCGAAATCAAAAGAGATGCCAAGTCTGGCTAATGCAGTGGTGGGCTAAATGAGCGTGCTTTCTTTGACAGCCCACCACCTATCCTGGACCTCCTGCCTTCATCTTACATCACTGGGGGACAGGAAACCATGCCCTGCAATGTGTGCCATAGGGAAACTGCTCAAGGGTTTGCAGGGGTGTGCATTTCCCAGGGAGGTTTTACTCTAAGAGATAAGAGTCAATATGAGAACAGTCATAAATGAGAACTGAGTCAGCCCACATACCAGGCAGGGGCTGTCAGACTCAGCACCCTGTCACTTATTCTTCCAAGTTCTCAGGGACTTGTGAGTCTTGGCCAAGGGAGGACCTATGATCAGTAGTGTGAGGAGTCTCAGCCACTAATAGAAAGTGAGGACCATGAACGACCAATGATTGGAGAATCCACCTACTGGGACCCATGAGATCCTGCTCCCACTACTACCAGTCCTCAGAGGTCTCAAACAGCCATGGCTAGAATTGCATCAATCTAACTTCCACCTATGAGTGGGAGTCTCTATAACTCACTTCCGACTAAACAGCACTTAACATCAACAGCAACTTCCACCTCAGAAGTGTTAGGAATGTGAAGACCTTGGTTGGAGGCTGGCAAATTCAAGTCAGCCAAGAAGGGAATGCCTGAAAATTTCAAGAGTCAAGGTGAGTACTCTGAAAGGTGTAGGGACCATCCACACCCTCTCAGCAAGAGTCCCACAGAATCCTTCCCTATTGCCAGGCATGGGAGGCTCTAGGGAGACATGTTCCTCAGTTTCTCCTCAGTGAAGTGAGGGTCTTAGTCTAAAGATGATGGTTCCAGTTAAGTAGAGGGAGGAATCTAAGACCCTCTCAGAAGTCAAATGTAGGACTTGAAGTGAGGACACTGAATGGCACCTGAACCTAGTGTTGCAGGATTCACCTGGGGAGACTATAAGCAGGTGTGACCAGAGAAGAAGATCGTCAAGCCTTACTTACTATGAGAAGAAAATTCTCAGTTTAAGAGACACCTAAGCCCTGTGTGGTGTCAAAGTGAGAACCCTGAGTGAAGACTAAGGGGACCACCCACACTGAACGGAGGGAACAAGGGAGAGTCTGATCTTGATTCTGCTTTCATCCCATGTAAGGTCAAAGAGGACTTCTCGGGCCAAGGCCCCCTCACTTCTAGACATCAGGTTGAAAGGAGGGGTGATCTTTGGTCTATGGGTGCAGACACTAACCTGCAGACGGAAGGAGTCCCAGGTCAAGTGAGAAGCCTGAATGAGGACTGACACCTCCATGGGACCCAGGCAAGAGCAGGTTTCACTGTGCTGTTAGCACTGGGGGTCTATACACCCTGCCAGGGGTGGTGACGGAGCTCTTTTGTCCCTTCCTCCTAGAGTGTCTCAGGGGGCTTTGTGGTTTCCAGTTCAGAGTAGCAGAGCGGAAGAGCCGAAGCACTGCCAACCATTGATCAGATGGCCCGGAAAGTGAACTGAGAGGATCCCCTGACACCAGGACTGAGCCCTGGAATAGGAATCTTGTGGATTCCTAGGGCAGTGTCCTCCAAGCAGAACTGCAGAAGTGGCAGTTTTGAAAGTCAAAGAAGCATCTCCCTGCTGAAGGGGCACACACCCTCTCTGCCTCCCTCCTCCAGTGGGCCTACATCACCTGACTTCCTCCCACACTCCAGTCAGCATGCCTTGCAGTCAGAAGAGTAATGTTTTTACACATGAAAAAGTTTTGAGTAAGGTCCAGAGTCTCAAGGGGGTTCAGATTACTGCAGCAAAAGAGAAAGAGCCCCCTCCTTGTACCCTCTTTTTGGGGCTTATCTCTAGAGCTCCCCTGCAGTTCACAACCCCTAAGGGCCTCAAAGAGCACCGTTCATTACTGCTGCTGCTGCAGGTGCTTTATACACGAGAGTTCTTCTCCCCCTAGTCAAGTCTAAGGCAGATTCACTTTGTGTTTGAGGAAGGTTGTTAATCTTCTAAAAGAGCCTTTGTGGTGCAGTGTTTAAAGAGTTTGGCTGCTAGTCAAAAGGTTGACAGTTTGAACCCACCACCTGCCCCCTAGAAGAAAGCTATGGCAGCCTGCTTCCATAAAGATTTATAGCCTTGACAACTCCTAGGGTCACTGTGAGTTAGAACCGACTCTGAGGCAATGGGTTTGATTTGTTGTTATTGTTAACCTTTTAAGTGGTGGAGGTGAGGTGGGGCTGGAACACCTTCTAATGTTCTTGTTATACATGAATAATTGGTAGATTTTTCTCTCTCATTTGTGTTTTTTTCAAATACACACAGTGTTCCTTTGAATAATAGGTTTATTTAGCTTTAAAAATCTAAGTTTATGAGGGACATGGATCATATATTAATGCTGCTTATTGGATTTAAATTTAAGAGTTTAGTGTTTTGTAAATCAGAAAATACTCAAATCATTTTTTTTGTGATCCACACTATATTATATAACATTGAAATAGGGATTCTCTTCAATATGGAAAATTATTCCACAGTAATCAAATGATATATTGCACTGGGAAAATCAGCTGCAAAAGACCTCTGTAAAGTGTTAAAGAGCAAAGATGTCATTATAAAGACTAAGGTGGGCCTGAGCCAAGCCATGGCATTTTCCATCACCTCATAGGCATGTGAGAGCTGAACAATGAATAAGAAAGACTAGGAATAATAGAAGCACTTGAATTAGGGTGTTGGCAAAGCATATTAAGTATACCATGGACTTCCAGAAGAATGAACAAATCTGTATCCGAAGAAGTATAGCCAGAATGCTCCTTAGAAGCCAGGACGATGAGACTTGGTTTCATGTACTTTGGGCATGTTATCAGGAGGGATCAAGCCAGGACGATGAGACTTGGTTTCATGTACTTTGGGCATGTTATCAGGAGGGATCAAGCCAGGACGATGAGACTTGGTTTCATGTACTTTGGGCATGTTATCAGGAGGGATCAAGCCAGGACGATGAGACTTGGTTTCATGTACTTTGGGCATGTTATCAGGAGGGATCAATCCTTGGAGAAGGACATCACTAGGTAAAGAATGTCGTTGTTGCTGTTATCTGCCATCCAGTTGGTTCTGACTCATAAGGATCCTGTATAGGATTTCCAAGGAGCAACCAGTGGGTTTGAATTGCTGACCTGTGATTTGCAGTCTAGTGCTGATCCCGTAGGGTCAACAAAAAAGGGAAAGACCCTCAACGAGATAGACTGACAATATGGCTACAACAATAGGCAGTGTTTCTTTCTGTTGTACATTGGGTTACTAAGAGTTGGAACCAACTCGACAACATCTAACAACAACAAAGTTGGCGGAATTACAAGATAGGGAAAGCAAAGTAAAAATCGGTCAGTTTGGGATTTGTTTCATCCCTTTAGTCTTTCTTTTGGTGAGATTGTGTGATACACACATAGGTTTGCTTAGTTGAATTCAAGAATATTTATGAAATCAAATCTATTGACTTTGTTTGTCATCTTACATATTTACTCTTTTCTTGTCCAAACATTAATTGAGCATGTGTTCCTGGAAGGGCCCTTGATAGGACTGGGAATTATAAGACAAGGAAATCTCAGCCTCTGTCCATGGAGTTTAGAGTTGGTTGGTTTGTTATGTGCCGCGGAGTCAGTTCCAACTCATAGAGACCCTGTACAGGGTTTCCGAGGCTGTAAATCTTTACAGGAGCAGAAAGCCTCATCTTTCTCCCGCGGAACAGCTGGTAGTTTCTAATTGCTGACCTTGTGGTTCGCAGCCCTATTCGTAACCACTACGCTGCAAGAGCTCCTTAGAGTTTAGAGTAAAAGTATGATTAGCCAAATCATAAAGGAAGAGGGTGAGATACTATCGCTATGAACTAAGAGATAAATAGAAGGAAGACTAAGAAGAGACTTCCAGAGATTGCATTCAGACGTAAATGTCCTTACACCTCAGTGGGAAGTCAATTTTTGATAGGCAGTATCATGGGAATGGTGAGCAGAACCAGCCACTCTTGCTGTGTGTCTCGGCATTGAGAGACTGAGCCTGAAATGGAAAACGGCTCTTGACAGTTATTCTAGGATTGTGGGTAAACTAGAGAGAAATTCTTACCTGGGCATGCACTGACTAGGTGTTTTACACACAATATATCCAGAGAGTTCTGAAAAATAAGGACAATACTCCCTTAAGTTGTGATGTTCAGCAGTCTCTGAGCTATCACTTTGCCAGAGTACTCGCAAACAAAATGGCAATCAAATTACATTGTTTTGTGGGTGTGTTGGCAAACTATAAATGAGGTCTAGATTTTACCCCTGGAATGCATAAAGACCAATATCCTAGGCATTAGTGAGTTGAAATGGACTGGCATTGGCCATTCTGAATCTGACAATCATATGGCTTACTGTGCCGGGAATAACAAATTGAAGAGGAATGGTGTTGCATTCATTATCAAAAAGAACATCTCAAGATCTGTTTTGAAGTATAATGCTGTCTGTGGTAGGGTAATACCAATATGCCTACAAAGAAGACCAGTTAATACCACTGTTATTCAAATTTACCCACAAACCACTAAAGCCAATGATGATGAACATGAAGAATTCTACCAACTTCTTCGGAGTCCTGGTGTGATGGTGCGGGTTAACGCTCTAAACTGCAAGGTTGGTTCAAACCACAAGGTCAGCAGTCCAAACTAACCAGCAGCTCCCTGGAAACACTATACAGGGCTGCTATGAGTTGGAATTGGCTCGATGTCACTTAACAACAACAGCAACCAACTTCTTCAGTCTGAAATTGATCAAACATGCAATCAAGATATATTGAAAGCTACCAATGATTCACATGCAAAGATTGGAAACAAAGAGGAAGGATCAGTAGTTAGAAAATATGGCCTTGGTGATAGAAACGATTCTAGAGATTGAATGATAGATTATTGCAAGATCAATGACTTATTCATTGCAAATACCTTTTTTTTTAGCAGCATAAATGGCTACTATACATGTGTACCTTACGAGATAGAATACACAGTAATCAAAGCTTCACATCATCCATCAAAAGAAGCCAGAAGCCAACTGTAGAATAGATCATCAATTGCTCATATGCAAGTTCAGGCTAAAGCTGAAGAAAACTAAAACAAGTCCACAAGAGCCAAAATATAACTTTGAACATATCCCACCTAAATTTAGAGATCATCTCAAGAACAGATTTGATTCATTGGAAACTATTTACCAAAGAAGAGAAAATCTGCAGGATGACATCAAGAACACCATAGAGGAAGAAAGCAAAGGGTCATTAAAAAGACAGGAAAGACCTAAATGGATGTCAGAAGAGACTCTGAAACTTGCTCTCCAACGTAGAGATCCTAGAGTGATGGAAGAAGTGAGGAAGTAAAAGAGCTGAAGAGAAAATTTCAAAGGGCAGCTCAAGAAGACAAAATCAAGTATTATTATGAAATATACAAAGACCTGGAGTTAGAAAACAAAAAAGGAAGACCAGGCTCAACACTGAAAGAACTGAAGAAAAAGTTTAAACCTCGACTTGCAATATTAAAGAACTACATGAGTGTTGGCTCCACATGATAAGTACTGAATTTCTAACCACAAGGTCAGTGGATCAAGCCCAGCAGTTGCTCCATTGTACTGGTACTTCAAAGGTTTTTAAAAGCCTCAGAAATCTTATACAAGGTCACTATGAATTGAAACCAACTCGACAGCACTTAATAACAATGGGCAAAATATTGAATGATGCGGATAGCATCAAAAGAACATGGAACAGCGGCAGGCTTCAAGAATGTTCCCTTTGGTTGTTTAAATGATTATATATTCCTGAGTGTTTTTGTGTACATTCCAAAAAAAAAAACAAAAAACACAGAAGGAATAGAAGCAAATACTGTTGAATGATGATGCATGGAAGAGATTGTAATCATTGCAATGAAACGATGAGTGTAAAACCAATGTAAACTATCACTCAATTCACAACAAAAACTTAAAAATTAAAAAAAGAAGATGGAACATATACATAGAATCACTGTACCAAAAAAAATAAAAAATAAATAAAAGTCAGTGTTCAACCATTCCAAGAGGTAGCATATGAGCAAGACCAAAGGTGCTGAAGGAAGAAGTGCAAGCTTCACTGAAGTTATTGGCAAAACCAAAACTCCAGTACTTGACAGAATACAAATTGAAACCTTTCAACAAACTGATATAGCACTGGAGGTACTTACTCATCTATGTGAAGAAATTTGGAAGACAGATACCTGGCCAACTGACTTGAAGAGATCCATATTTGTGCCCATTCCAAGAGAGGTGACCCAATGGAATGCAGAAACTATCAAATAATATGGTTAATTTAACATGTAAGTAAAATGTTGTTGAAGATAATTTAAAAATTACTGTAAGAGTACATTGACAGGGAACTACTAGAAACTCAAGCTAGATTCATAAGAGGATGTGGAACTAGAGAGATCCTTGCTGACATCAGATGGATATTGGCTGAAAGCAGAGAGTACCAGAAAGATGTTTACCTGTGCTTTATTGATTATGCAAAGGCTTTTGACTGTGTAGATCATGACAAGCTATAGATAACATTGTGAAGAATGGGTACCCCAGAACCCATGATTGTACTCACAAGGAACCTGTACATAGACCAAGAGGCAGTTGTTCGAATAGAACAAGGGGATACTGAATGGTTTTAAATCAGGAAAGGTGTGCACCATGGCTGTGTACTTTCACCATATTTGCTAAATCTGTATACTGAGCAAATAATTCAAGAAGCTGAAGTATATGAAGAAGAACGTGGCATCAGAATTGGAGGAAGACTCATTAACAACATGCAATATACAGATGATACAACCTTGCTTGATGAAAGTGAAAAAGGACTTAAAATACTGATGAAGATCAAAGACTACACCTTAAGTATGGATTGACCTCAATTTAAAGAAAACAAAAATCCTCAGCATGGTAAATGGAGAAAAGATTGAAGTTGTCAAAGACTTTATTTTGCTTAGATACACCATCAAATCTCATGGAAGCAGCAGTCAAAAAATCAGACGACATATTGCATTGGGAAAATCTTGTGCATAAGACCTCTTTAAAGTGTTCAAGATCAAAGATATCAGTTTGAAGACAACATAAGCCTGATCCAAGTCATGGTATTTTCAATTACCTCATATGCAGGTGAAAGTTGGACAATGAATAAGGAAGACTGTAGAAGAATTGATGCATTTGAGTTAGGTGCTGGAAAAGAATATTGAAAGTACCATGGACTACCAGAAAAACAAACAAATCTGTGTTGGAAGAAGTACAGCCAGAATGTTCTTAGAAGTCAAAACAGCGAGACTTTGCCTTTCATACTTCGGACATATTACCAGGAGAGACCATCCCTAGAGAAGGATGATTCTAGGAGAAGGACAATATGCTTGGTAAAATTGAGGGTGGAGTCCTGGTGTGATTGTTAATACTATGGACTGCATTAAAGCTGCAGTTAATGTGCTGGACTGCAAAGTCAGTTTGAAATGCAAGGTCGGTGGTTCAAGCTTACTAGCCACTCCTTAAAAACCCTATGCAGAGTTACTATGAGTCAGAACCATAGGGCACTTAACAACAACAAAGTGGAGGGTCAATGAAAAGAGGAAAGACCCCTAATGAGATGGATTGGCACAGTGGCAGCAGCAATGGGCTCAAACATAGCAACATTGTGAGTATGGCGCAGAACCACACAGTGTTTCGTTCTGTTGTGCATAGTAACTTCATGAGACAACAACAAGCGCAACGGTTAAGTGATTGGCTGCTAACCAAAAGATTGCTGGTTTGAGCCTGCTCTGTGATTGGATAGGAAAAAGACCCCAAATCTGCCTCATTGCCAAGAAAATTCTGTGTGGCCGTTCTCCTCTGAGTTGGAACTGAGTCAATGGCACGGTTTGTTTAGGATAGATGGGTAGTTTGGAGGTAGGGAAGGCGTTGGCCCTTGCAAAAAATTCTGAGGACTTTCAGTTGCATTCAGCTGGAAGAGACATCCTCATACCCAAGATATACTCAAATGGGAAACTATTACTTAGTTTACAGTATTATGCAGCATTTTGGCTGGTTTGATTTTCTTTGTCTAAGAGCACTGCATATTCAGATGTTTCCCATATTACAAGATAAATTCCTAGTGGCTGCATTGTCTTCTGGGGTCAAAATAATAATAGTAATAATAGTTGTCATTCTTTAAAGTCTCAAAACGTTCCAGGTAATGTGCCAGGCATTTTACATATGTTACACAAATTCCAACAATCCTAGAAGTGAGGACTTATCAAATTCATTTCACAAACAAAGGACCTGAGGCTCAGAGAGTTTGGTGATGTGTTTAAGTTCAAAGTCTATTCTATAATAGAGCTGGATCAGACTACTGGTCTGAATCTGTCTGGAGCCCCCACTGTTCCATTCCTCCCAGCCAGAGGCTAATCCTGTGCCTTTGAATTCACTTTTCTTCTCACTACTACAAAATGTATCTCAGGTAATAAAAACAGTATCTTTTGCCCAAAACACTGAGTTGGAAGATTGGTTTGTTGTTGATAAGTGTCATCGAGTTGGTTCCAACTCATAGTGATCCTGTGTAGAGTTTCTGAGGAGGAGCTGGTGGATTTGAACCATTGACCTTGCAGTTCAAAACAACTTTGTAGTCCAGTGCTTATCCTACAGTGCCCCGCCAGTATCTCAGGTAACAAAAACAGTATCTAGTGCCCAATTCTGGGTTGGAATACACAGCCAAAACTATAAAAATACCAAAATAAATGAGTGGTATGAATAAAAGAGAAAAAGATAATTCTCATTGAAAAAAATGGTCATCTATTTATGCTGTATCAGCTATCCTTAAAAGATGTTGTTGTTGTTAAGTGTCATCGAGTCTATTCCAACTCTTAGGGACCGTATAGGTTTCAGAGGCTGTAAATCTGCAGAAGTAGAAAGCTTCATCTTTCTCCCATGGAGTGGCTGATGAGCTTGAGCCACCGACCTTGTGGTTCACACTATGGACAGCAGCTTTCCTATAAAATGTAAATATTTTTGGACAGAAGTCAAAATTGATACTAAGTCTGACTGACGAAGTGTGGGCTCTATCAGTGTGTGTTGTCTTTGATAGATAACTATCTGTCCTTGTCTTATTCTGCAACGTCCCCATCTCACTTTACTTTGGGGACAGGTATTTCCAGTACAGAAACTGCTCAAGAGTTGGAGGGATGTGACACTTTCCAGGAAGCCTTTAATCCAAGAGACAGGAACCTGAAGGCATCCGTGAGTGAGGACTGGGAAGACCAATATCTCAGAATGTAGGGATCACACAGAGAAGGCTCTCAGACGTAGGGAAACCCAGGCAGAGCTCTCAGCCACAACATCTTCTCCCTTATCCTTCAGAGCTCTCGGGGACTTGCGTGCATTGGCCTAAGTGGGGCACCTCACTCCCGTACCTCCAGGAGTCTCCGTTCTGACACTGTATCCCATCCAACGCCCATCCAACGCGCCTATGTAAATACGCACAGAGCACGCATAGGAAACTAACTTGTGAGGTTATATTATGTTTTTGGCAAATTTCTTTTTCTTTGCAAACTTCTGCAGAAATGAGGCTGCCCACTTGAGACCAAGGTCCTCCCTCTCTGAAGCCCTCCGTTCAGGTCAAACCCATCCCAGAAAAGCTGTCAGTCTGAGGGTCCTCTTTATTTCCTCTTGTAGGATTTCTGGGTGGCAGGTTGGTCTAATCGGAGGAGAAGTCCTGGTCTACAGAGGGAATAGACTTATGACTTAGTAGGAGTCAACGAGAAGATCCTGTGCATTTGTAGCAAGCCCCCACATAAGACGGCAGCCCCAGTTCTGCAGAAGTAGGAGTGTGACTTGATGGTCTTGTTCTGAGTCAGTGACTTAGGTTCTATAGGCAGGAACCCCAACATATATCAATGTGAGTATTCTGAGTAAGCACTAATGGGACACGATTCCAAAATGGCGGGGGGGGGGAGGTCCTAGAAACCCGGGCCCTGCTGTCGGCCCTCAGAGTCCCCCCAACAGCCTTCCCTTTGGGGGACCCACCAATCACATTGGCCGGATGTGACGCTCGCCATGCTGCTTTCTACCACAGGAAGTGCCGGAAAAGTACGCCGTCCGGTTTTTCAACATTGGAGGAGCGGAGAGTGCCAGTGCTGCTGAGAAGCCCAGGTAAGACCCCCTGGACATGGGCTGTGGTCACCCAAAATTGTCTTTTTGCCCGCTTCAAGGCCATCAGGTCAGCTTCCATCTGGAGAGACTCAGAACAGAAGGGCCTTGGTGGAAGGGACGTACTTGGAGCCTGCGCTTGGTGCTAATGAGCCCGGCCCCAGCTCTCAGCAGTGAGAGCCCCCCAAAAGGATTAGGCTGAATCCTGAATCCCCTCTAGGGAGGTGAGGGCTCTAGCCTGAATCATAACCCCCTCCCCTGCTTCCAGGCCAACTCAAGTTGAGTAGACGGAGGGAGGAACCGTAAGTCTTGCCAGCCCTTGCTATCGCCCCACTAAGCCCCAGACAAGGCTGGCAGGCTGCAGACTGATTTTCACCCATTTTCTTCAACAGGGTTCTCAGGAGCCAGGCTGGCGTAGTGTCGTTAAGGAAAACAGCAGAGGCTGTGGTTGTTCTAGCTCGAGTAGACTGTCCTGTTGAAGGGGCTCATAATATCTCAGCCTCCGTCCTCCCACATCCCTGCCTGCTGTCCTTGCCCAGCACCATCATGCCTCGCGGTAATAAGAGTAAGCACCGCGCTCGTGAGAAACGTCGCCGGGCTCGAGGTGACCCCCAAAGTGCCAAGGGTGCTCAAGCTTCTGCAGCAGAGGAGGAAGGGTCTTCTCCTTCTGAGGGCTCTCCCCAGAGGTCCGAGAATCCTTGCGTTCCCCCGGGGATTCAGAGGACCCCACCCACCACCACTGATGTTGTACCTGTTTCATCTGCAATAGCTGCAAAAGGTGCCAAGGGCAGAGATGAGGGAAAACCAAGTTCCTCTGGGGCACCACTCCCCACTGAGAAAACACCAAAAGATCCTTTATCCAAGAAGGAGTCTATGTTGATGCAATTCTTGCTGCAGAAGTATAAAATGAAGGAGCCGGTCACAAAGGCAGAAATGATCAAGAAAGTTAATAAAAAGTACAAGGAGCATTTCCCTGAGATCCTGAGGAAAACCACTGAATGGATGGAGATGGTATTTGGCCTTGTCCTGAAGGCAGTGGATTCCAGTGGTCAATCCTATACCCTTGTCAGCAAAGTAGACATCACCAACGAAGGAAGTCTGAATGATGACTGCGAGCATCTCAAGAATGGGCTTCTGATGCCTCTCCTAGGTGTGATCTTCTTAAAGGGCGACCGGGCCACCAAGGAGGAGATCTCGGAGTTCCTGAATGTTTTGGGGATGCATGAAAGTAGGAGGCACTTAATCTGTGGGGATCCCTGGAAGTTCATCAGCAAAACCTTGGTGGAAAAAATGTACCTGGAGTACCAGCAGGTGCCCAACAGTAATCCTCCACGCTATGAATTCCTGTGGGGTCCCAGAGCCCACGCTGAAACCAGCAAGATGGAAGTCCTGCAGTATTTGGCCAAAGTTTTTGGTACATCCCCCAGTGCCTTCCCGGTGCATTATGAAGAGGCTTTGAGAGATGAGGCAAAGAGAGCCACAGCCAGAGATGCAGCCAGGGCTGATGCCAGTGCAAAGGCCAGTACACATTCTAGAGCCACAAGCAGCACCTCCTCCACTCCTAGTCAAATCTGAGGCAGAGTATTCATTTTGTGCTTCAAAAGAGCAGTCAGAATTCTCAGTAGTTTCAGGCTGAGGTTGAGCTGGAGAAATCATACATTGTCTTGTTTCTGTTGTACATCAGTAGCTTTATCTTTTATTGATATTTTTCAAATGTTGTTATGCTTAATAGAATGTTCATTTAGCTTTAGAATCTAACTTGTTATATGGCCTAGGTTGCACATTTATTTCACTCTGTATGAGGTTTAAGAGTAAGAGTTTGGGTGTCTTTCTAAGACAAATTGAGAAAGTTTTGAGTCTTTTGGGGGGCTCCAGAACAAGATAACATTACTTTGGAATTGGGATTTTCTTGGAAATGTGAATAGATCCCGCAATTGAATAGTTGAGATTACAAAATAAAAACAAAATAAAATCTGGTTAAGTTTATTGCTTGTTTTGCATTATTCTTTTCTGTCTATTTGTAAAATTCTAAGATAGATGCCGAGTTTCTTTGCTGATTTAAGAATATTGATGAAATTAAAATATAATAAATTAGACCCTTGTTCAGTGATTCACCTATCCCCAGTTATTAATTGTTGTTAAGTGCCATTAAGTCAGTTCTGACTTATAATGACCCTATAGAGGGTTTCCGAGGAGCGACTGGTGGGTTTGAACTGCCAACCTTGCCATTACTGTGGGATTGTGGGTAAGTCAGAGAGAAATTCCCATGTAAGGTAGGATTGGTAGATGTCCTGTACTTTTATCCCAGTGCACTTGAAACTATACACTGACTGGGTATTTTATTCACATCATTTCCTGAAAGTTTCTGAGATTTCAGCGGTGATACTTCCTGGAGGTGAGATGCCAAGAAACCACTGTTCTAGCGCTTTGACTTGAGCCAGAGCCCACTCTATTCAGAGGACATTAAAATTAGGTTATCCTGAGTGTCATTTGACAAGCTCCCAGCAGAGACTAGATGTTTGTGGTGATACGAAGGGGAAAAAAGGATGACTTAAACGGAAGATAAGCTGGGAAGGAAGTTGTTGGTCTTTAATAATTCAAGGAGCCTTCTTTTGCATCAAACTGGCCATGTTCACTACACACTCACATTAAATAACATATTCCTTAATGTAAAATATTACCTATTCTTCCTAAGCAACAGTTTTGCTGATTTGGTTTTCTTTGTCCTGGAGCATACATCCTGGATCTTAAAAAAACAAACAAACCCCAACTCAAAACATAGAAGTGGGTGGTGTCATCTGGGGTCAAAACAAAATAACAACTGCTCTTTTTTAAAAATACCCAAACTATTACAAGCCAAATGCTTTACATACATTATACACATTCTCAAAGTCCCAGAAGACAGGGCTTACCTTACCCACTTGACAAATGAAGAACCTGAGGGTGATAAGTAATAGCTAGACCAGACCTTGTTCTGAATTCTAGAACCTCCACAGTTCCATTGCTCCCAATTAAAGGCAAACCTTGTATATATTAGTGCCATTTTCCTCTCACTGTGCCATAATGTATTCAGGTGATAAAAAAGAATGTCATTGTGGTCAGCATACTAAAAGCAGGTGTAAAGAAGACAGATGAAAATGAGGATCAAACAGAAATTGGGAATTATCTAGTGGTTCACTTACCTAGTGTTTTGCTTCTCCGTTCCAAGATTCCTTGAGCTCTGAGTCTGCTTGGAGCTGGTATTTTCTTAAAATAATATTTTATTGTGTTTTAGGTGTAAATTTTTCACAGAAAACTGGTTCCTCTTTAATAATTTTATGCAAATTGTTCCCTGCCATTAGTTAGAATTTTTTTCAATGTGTGTGTGCCGACAAATTTGTTCTGACTCATAGCGACACTTTTAGGGTTTCTGAGGAGCAGTTAATGGACTTGAACCGCATTTTCTTTTTTTTTTTTTTTTCACTCTGCTTGTTTTTTTCTTTTTTTCCTTTTGGGTAAATGTTGACCATTTGGTCTTAAATGATTAATTGTTTAAGGAAGGACATTACTCACAGTTGGTAATATTTTATAAGCCAATCTATTATTTGCCTAAAAGGTGACCTGAAGAAATAGCTTCAATTCCAAGTTTAAAGGGTATCTTAGGATAACAGTCTTGGTGGTTCTTCTAATAATTATTGAACAGGTATTTGTTGTTGTTGTTAAGTGCCATCGAGTCGGTACCGACCCATAGTGACCCTATGCACAGCAGAACGAAACACTGCCCGATCCTGGGCCAACCTCACTACCGTTGCCTCCCTTGAGCCCATTGATGCTGCCACTTGGCCAATCCATCTCGCTGGGGGTCTTCCTCTTTTTCTCTGACCCTCTACCTTACCGAACATGATACTCTTTCCAGCGACTGGTCCCTTCGGACAATATGTCCGAAGTATGAGAGACGAAGTTTGGCCATCCTGGCCTCCAAGGAGGACTCTGGCTGCACTTCTTCCAACACGGATCTGTTGGTTCTTTTGGCAGCCCATGGCACTTTCAATATTCTCCTCCAACACCATAACTCAAAAGCGTATATCTAGATACATGTTAGGGATTTGAGTTTTGTTCTATGTTTTTCTCTCATTCTCTCCAGGACCTTCTATTGTGTCCCTGTTTAAAAGGTCAGGAGTGGTACCAGCGTATTGTCTAGTTCTCAGGTTAGAAGAGGCTATGGTCCATGTGGGCTATTAGTACTGTGGATTCGTTTCATCTTTGAACTTTTCTTTCTCATATATATATATATTGCAGTCTTTTTTT